CTCTCTCTCTCTCACGCCCCTCTCTTTATGAGGGTGTCCATGACACATTGTATTTTAAACTTTAAATTTAAAAAAAACTTAAACGCTTTCTTTGTGCTTGTGTTTGCCAGCATCTTGTTTACTTTAATTTTTTCCCAACCATGACTCACCGATAGCTTTGCAGGAATCGTGCTGGACTACGGTACCATATTACCCTGGTTCGAATTCTCTAAGGGGGTAGCACGGAAGTTGAGGAGTTTGAAATTGGATTATATTATCTGAGCAATTTTTGAGGCTCCTCCCCAGTAGTTTGCCAGGACGCTATGGAAGACGGTCATAAGAATTGGGAGCCTTGCCTTCTAGAGCAATTGTAGCGCTAGGTTAGTGAAGGGTCGCTTTTAAGCACAAGGGGGCTATCCCGAAAAATGCTGTTTTGAGATAATCGAAAGTAAAGTTTTTGCCCCTTGTTCAGTTTCTTTAAAACACAAGGAGAGTTTTCTCTATAACCAAACACCTATGAAACCAAACTTCTCCTATAGGTAGGGCAATGCCCACTTTTGGTGTATGTCAAAATTTCTGGAAACCCCGACATCTGGGCTAGCCTACTTGTCCTTAAGAGCGACCAAATATGATAATAGAGAAACCACTACAATTTTTCCTCTCGTTGTCCTGTCGACAGGGTACCGCATTTACACCTCTTTTTTTCTCTCGATGGGGTAGCTGCGTTTATGGTGTAACAGTTAGGCGCTTTGCTGTCACCCGCAGGAGACCCGAGTTCGATTCCCGAGTGTGGAGAATTTTTTATCGAGTATCTCGGTCTTTCTGCTGGGACAATAGGTCATTTAGGAGGCTGGGTCTGAGAGCATACAACATTAAATATTCTGGATGGAGAGCCAGGGGAAGACCAAGGCGTCGATGGAGTGAATCTGTGGCAGACACCCTCAGAGCTCACGGGATGTCCCTCCTATAGGCCACTCGCCTTGCTGCAGATAGACGCCTGTGTTTCCCCGCGACACCCACCGGTACAAGCGGAAGAAAAAAGTAAAAGTAAGCAAGGAGGCTGGCGGTTTCTGACCCGGGCTGAAATGGGTACGCCCCAGCAGAAGGACCAAGATACTCGATAGGGGCGTCATTAAAAACACCTAAACGTTTGTTGCTTTTTTTCTTTTAATTCTCTCGACGAGGTAGGAGGACTATTTATAATTTACCCTCTTTTGTTTTCTATCGACAGAGCATTTACGCCTTGGGCATACCCGGATGTTTTGACGCTGTATGCTCTCTGGGGTTGCTCTGCCAACTTCCGTTTGAAGGATCTTGTCGAGTTATCCCCGTGTACGAGAGGGCGTCTTGTGGAAATAAAAAGGTTCATATAATGTGCTCTCTCTCCTCTCATTTCTATTTCTTAGTTTGTTTTAGTAAGAGTTTTACGGCACTTGCATCACAATACGGTCATATACGTGCCGAAGATCAGAGGTGTTACAAGAGAGTAACAAACACAAAAAGAAGGAGTAGATGAAAGAAAAGGACGATAGATGTTCGATTGGAAAGAAGAAGCAAATCACACATGAACACCCACCAACCACTCCACGGTTTTTATTTCTGCCTCCAAAGTACCCGAGGCTCAGGATATCACTGGTTATTTATTGTTCCATATATAGAACAATATTCTATTGTTGCAACTGATTGGTAGAATTCCTTATATAGAACAATGATGTTCTATTGTTGCCACCCCAACCAACTAAAAAAAAGTCCTCGGTCTATGAATGTATTACACATGCGACTTCACTGTACATGTAGTATTAAGACATTTGTATCTGTGTTCATGTAGTTTACGACGTTGCCTTAATGAAATTGACCACACTGTGAAAACTTTGCTGGCTACGTTTCGAAAGTAAGTAGGGGAGAGAGTGTTTCGTTTTAGTTTTAGTACGTAATTTGCTGCACTTGCAACACAATAAAGTCATATAAATGCGGAAGATTAGAGGTGTTACAAGAGAGTGAAAGTAACAAACACACAAAAAAGAAGGAGGGTAGACAAAGATGATAGAATAGATGTTTGATAGGAAAGAAGAAGTAAACCACACCAGAGCGGCCGCCAACCAGAAAGTGTTTCTTTAGTATAACGATTCAAATGAAAATCAAATGAAAAGGAAGTTACATCATGAAATAAGATAGACAATCAAATTCTTACGGCGTAACGATACCTCAGTGTAGCATGGATCATGCTCAACGAAAAGAACCGTATAATATAGTACAGTTTGTATTGAAATTGACGGTTTTTCAATCCAATTCAACATAGCCACGATTGATTCCCTTTTTTCAGCCAAGCACATAGGCCAACATGTATTAATTGATCACTTTTTAAAGGACAAGCGGGCTCACCCAGATTTCGGGGGTTTCCAGAAATCTTGACCTACACCAAAAGTGAGCAATGGCCCTACCTAAAGGAGAAGTTTGGTTTCATTGGTGTGTAATATTTGTTTGGTTATAAAGAACACTCTCCTTGTCTTTTAAAGAAACTGAATACGGATCCAAAAACTTTACCTTCGATTTTCTCTAAACAGCATTTTTCATGATAGCCCCCATGTGCATAAAAGTGGCCAATTTCACTATCAACCCAGCACAGTTCAGTTGATCTAAACCTGGGTCTTATTTGATATTATGGATTACCTTCAGGTTCCTGTACGGTGCATACATATTCATGCACTGTCGCTTGGCTCATGTGAGCCATTTAATACGACGCGGTGGAATCAGATCAGGCGCTCGCCAATTTTGGGGCATTGGAGTTATTGGTATCATCTTAAAGCCTGTTCATTTGTCTTGCTTTTTGAGAGAAAAAAAATCCATCTTTGTTGAATAGAAGTCGAAATATTTGCGTTTGAAGGAGGTCAGGGTCGCCTCGTTTCAGAGGTGAAATTAGCGAGAAAATGACGGTAATTTCCACAGTTGAGAGTCCTTGGAAACTAAAAAATTGACATTTTTGTGCCTTTAATCGATATTTTTCAGTAAAACCACACAGAAATGTGCTTTTACAAGGATATAAAAGGTGTTGAGCCAAAACAAAACAAAACAAAAAACTTTTTTTCACTGCCTAACGGTCAGAAAAATGCCAATGTCTTTGATTTCACGATTTTGACGATCGCCTGATTTCACCCCGATGCCTCACTAATTATGCTGTTGTCTTTTTTTTTTGGTAAAGTGTTTTACGGCGCTCGCAACTGCATAAGGTCATATGAGCGTGCGGGACACACCTAGTATTTTCAGTTGGTAGGAAATTTTGAATTTTGCCCGGGTGGCGGCCGAAGCCTACTCTTATCGATTTTAGACCACCAAGGATCTTTAACGTGCGCAATTTGCACACGGGCCCTCCGAGATTATGCTGTTGTCTGCTTTTTTCCTCTCTCTTTTTCAAGTGGTGCATTCAAGGCCAGTGTGTCCAAGACGATAGAGCTCTCGCAACACTCGGAGGTAGGAAAATACATGTATTAATCTGTCCTCGGGGTTTTATGCACCTTGCGCAATTTAGCAAACTTTGATCATTTATTGCATAATTTCTGATTATTTTCCTTTATCATTCTTTGTTAAAATTAACAGAATCGCATAATTTCACATTTTTGGGACTCAGTTTGCTTAATTTCTTAATTTGTTTTGAATAAAACCGCAAGGACAGATTAATGAAATATAAGCTTGCTCCCTCACTTACTCTCACTCTCTCTCTCTCACACACACACACACACACACACACACACAAACACACACACACACACACACACACACACACACACACACACACACACACTTAAGGATTAGGACATTCTATTTTTGGTAGTGCAGGACCCCACAGTTCAGATCATTATTATCATGGGTCCAGATTACAACGCCACTTGTTCTGTCTCCTCATCTCTGAATCCGTTAAAAAAATATATTCTGAATAAAACCCCGCCCTCCCCTTCCTTTTTTCACCAAAAGGAAGTCACTGTTTTACAGCCTTTACTCACTGTCTTATGAATCAACTCTCAAGTCAAAGTGTACTTACACTACAGTGTCTGTTTCAAATTCAGGCAGGGCCATTTTTTATTTATCGGATAACCAACTCTCTTTTTACCCCCCTTATAACCCTATCCATACGTGGTGTTTTACTATCGTATCCTTACGACGTGGGGAACTCTGTGCCACCACTTTCCAAAGAAGAAGTTTGCTCGTTAATCCGATTCGTACGCTTTTCATAGGATAGGTGTCTGTCAAAACGATTTTTAGAGAAATACTGAAAGTTTCAAAGACATCTTCGCACTAGAAGTATTCTAAAATGTGAAGAATACAACCCGAGGGTACAAAATGACCCCAGGGCGTACGGATAGGGTTAAAAAAAAACAACCCAGAAAAACAACCCAAAACACCTATCAGTATCAATCATTAGAATGGAGAGTTGATGGCCAAATCTTGCCCTTTATCCCCAGACGACATTCCAGCCTACGACAACCTCAACTTCCCCTGTGACGTCAGATTCTGCGAGGCTTACAGCCAGTTCTCTGCTTTCAACTGCCCACTGACTTGCTCTGGCATTTTCTCATGCCCAACCAACTGATGCGGGCTGCTCACTCAATAAAGTGTACATGTATATTATCCTGTACTGAAAAAAAAGAGATTTTTTCTGTTATGCATTCAACTTTTGAAAAAAACAAAACAACAACCCTAGAATAATAATATAATAATATGATTTTACAACAGCATTTAACTTTCAACAAAGCCCCTAAGATGTTATCATGTAATTTTTATTTTATTTTTCTTTTTTTAGTAAGTGTTTTACGGCACCTGCAACACAATAAGGTCATATAAGTGCTGAAGATTAGAGGTGGTACAAGAGAGTAACAAACACAATAAGGTGATATAAGTGCTGAAGATTAGAGGTGTTACAAGAGAGTAACAAACACAAAAAGGAGGGGAGATAAAGACGATAGATGTTTGATAGGAAAGATGGAGCAAACCACACCAGAGCACCCGCCAACCACCAACACAAAGAAACAGTGGATACAAGATTAGTTGACCTCAGAAAAGAGCAACCTCTGCCTGACACTAACAGCAATTAAACCATAGTTGTGTGAAGAAATTTTAAAATATAAAAATAACCCTCTTTGACTGCAGCATTTTCTTTTAACAGTAACAGCAACTTTTGCTGCCCTGAATTGTCTGACAAAAATTGTTATTGACAATTCAAAAACAGTGTGACCATTGAAATGGCTTTTAATTTCAGTGTCATTAGTTTTAGTAGAGGTTTTACGGCGCTCGCAACTGCATAAGGTCATATGAGCGCCAGACGATTAGAGGTGTTACAAGAGAGTAACAAACATAAAAAAGAAGAAGGGGAGATAAGGATGATAGATGTTTAATAGGAAAGAAGGAGCAAACCACACAAGAGCACCCGCCAACCATCCACAATCTCAGTGTCTCCTCACAACACCTACTTAGGCAAAAATACATTATAAACGGAGTACAGGAGCTCAGATCACACGCTCGTCCATAGAGCCACTTTTCTTGAAGTCTCCCAACTAGGGGGGTAATACACGGAGTGTTGGTTACTGTCAAGGACGGCTCGTGGGGCTAAAAAGTGGACGTGCACAATTAAGCTATCGCATGCTGAAGATACTCAAGGGCATAGTAAATGAGATGGTGCATAATTGTAGAATCTTTGTGTTGGTGAGGGAAGACCTCGTGCTTTTATTTTGATTCTTTTTACTTGTCGCTTTAATTTCTAGTACTAAATTTGTTTGTTAGCTAAACATCAATTTCGTTCATCCTGTATTGGAACTGAACACTCTAGTAATAACTTTCACTACCCCACTACAAAACCCTTCAAAGGCACAACTCATAGGACGGTCACGTTCACCTCCCTTAGGTTCACGGTCACAGAGTCACTTAAAATAGTGGCAAGACAGGCAATGAACCAATCACAATTCACTTGAGCACTCCGTTGGATTGCTCCGGGGCTCACATAAATTGGCAAAGAATAGCGTACGGTCTATCGCCTTTATTTTTAGACTGCCTACTGTTGGCTATGTTTCGGCACTATTCGACAGGAGCACATTTGAGATGTGCCGTCTTAATATTAATGTACCGCCAAACTCGCTACGAGTGTCGTCATCGCTTGGGTTATCCCAAAGAGCGATTTATAGGTCAGGTTACACTGTTGAATATCCTATTATTTTAAGCTAAAGCGCGTGGACTTTGGCATGGCATAGTAGATGTCTTACGGCGCTATAGACACAGAAATGATAGTTATGGCGCCAGTGAGGACCTTGTTTTTATATAATACTTAGCGAGTGTTTGTTTCTGACTTCTTTTATTTTATTATTGCGGGTGTTTTACGTAATAGAACATTTTTAAAAATTTGGGCGGCACTACACGACCGTGCTCTATGGACGAACCGCGCCTGGTTACTGTGTGTAACATTCTTCCTCTTCTTCTTCTTCTATCCCGTGGTTGGGGCAACCGTGGGGGCACCACTACATCTGACAACCAGCTCTCGCCATTTTTCTCTGTCCTCTGCTTTCCTCAAATTGTCACCCATCGTCTTCCCTGTCCACTCTGTGATGTTGTCCTCGCATCTCCTTCTCTGCCTTCCTCTCTTTCTCTTTCCTTGTACGGTTCCTTGTAGGATTGTTTTGGCAAGTCCTTTGGATCTTGTGACATGTCCATACCATTTGAATTTTTGTCTCTTGACTGTTGTCAGAAGATCTTCATGCTGCACCACTGCGTTTGTGACTCTGTTCCGTACCTCAGCATTGGAAATGTGGTCTTTGTGTAACATTACCACCTTGTAATTGAACATTGGTTAACTTGAAATCCGATGCCGCCTATTTAGTATTTTGTCATTTTTTACCTAGCAGTAACAGCCTCACCACATCTCATGACTAGGACTCATGAAAGAGCATGTGTGTATTTGAAAGGGGTGGATGGGAGATCAATATACCGGAACCCACCCCCTTCCTTCCAACACATATTGAAAATTCAATTAGCAGCAACCTCTGACCTCTGCCTAACCTGTCCCCGCGGTTTTATGCACACACAAAAAAAATGCTGAAATTACGCAAACTGAGCCCAAAAATGTGAAATTATGCAATTCTGTTAATTTTAGCAAAGAAAGATAAAGGAAAATAATCAGAAATTAGGCAAAAAATGATTACATTTTGCTAAATTATTATGCGGGGTGCATAAAACCACGGGGACAGCCTAACACTCACAGCAGCTAAGGCCTGCTTCCCAAAGGAGTTGTTGTTACACATACATCACTGTATATATTTCTACAAACTATTCTATACGACTTTGTTTCTCCAAGTCTGCCATACAATGATCCATTGTAGCTAGCAGCAGTCAAATCTTTTGTTAATAAGAATTCATTTTCAAGTAATTCTCAATTATTATTTAACTGTAAAGGAGACTGACTCATCCAATGTCTTCTCTATTAGTTCACTGACTTTTTTGGGGGGGTTTTAGTAAGTGTTTTACAGCACTTGAAACACAATAAGGTCATATAAGTGCCGACGACTAGAGGTGTTACAAGAGGGTAACAAACACAAAAAAGAAGGAGGGGAGATAAGGACGACAGATGTTTGATAGGAAAGAAGAAGCAAACCACACCAGAGCACCCGCCAACCACCCACTTAGCTCATCGACACTTCATACTTCATGTTCCGATTCCAGATTTACACCAGAGAACATATATCAACAAATGAAAAAAAAATTCGGTAGAACCTTCAAGTAAAGGTAGTAGTAAACAATTTTTATTACGCATACTCATTAACATCTAAATCAACATTTACATGATATTAACACAGCATGGCAAAAAGAAAGTCAAAAATGTGTGGGTTCCCTGAAGAAGTGATGAATGAATCTGACTGTAAAAGTTTTACATTCCATAGATCATTTAAGAGACTTGCTTACACCTTGCACATATATCAGGGCCAACCAACCGTACAGCATCGTGTTAGACAGACGGAGTTACAATAACACGATAAAATAACAGAATACATCTCTTCTACGTGGAACAGCAAAAAGCCTAAGGTCTAATTATTGGACTACAGAAGTCAGATCCCTTTAACGTTTTAGTAAGAGTTTTACGGCACTTGCAACACAATAAGATCATAAGTGCTGAAGATAAGAGGTGTTACAAGAGAGTAACATAAAACATAAAATGGAAGGAGGGGAGATAAAGACGATAGATGTTTGATAGGAAAGAAGAAACAAACCACACCAGAGCACCCACCAGCCACCCACGAATACACCTCTTTTACGTAGAACAGCAAAAAGCCCAACGTCTAACTATTGGACCACAGAGGTCAGTTCCCTGAAGGAGGGAAGAGCTCTTGAATAACAAAAAGAAAAGTGCAGACACCCACGAGGTATGACACACAGAGGAGAATGGTCTTTAAAAAAAAAGTTTTAGCAGAGGTTTTACGGCACTCTCAACTGCATAAGGTCATATAATGAGCGCCATGGGGTGGATGTCAACAGAGAAGTCCTTACAGGGAATTAGACTAACTCTGTTTACCTCTATAGCTTCAACAGCACAAAGTCTGCTGTTTTTAGTTTTAGTGCACTTGCAACACAAAAAGGTCATACAAGTGCCAAAGATTAGATGTTTTACAAGAGAGTAACAAACATAAAAAAGAAGAAGGGGAGATAGAGACGGTAAACGTTTGATAGGAAAGAAGAAGCAAACCATACCAGAGCACCCGCCAACCATCCACGGAGAATGATTAAAACGAAGGCCTTGTGGTCACATTGAGCAACTTCTAGACTCATCACAACATTGAAAGTACAAATTGAGGTAGACGGGACGAAGATGAGCTACTTCAAGTGATTTCAAATTCTATTCAAATGAAATCGGCATGTGACACCAGCCGTTCATATTTTATGTTTCAAGGAAGAGTTTTATGGCACTTATAACACAATTAGGTTATGAAATAACTGAAGATTTGAGGTGTTACAAGTGAGTAACAAACACAAAAAAGGAGGAGAGATAAGGATGATAGATGTTTGATAGAATAGAGAGAGAAAACCACACCAGAGCACCCATCAACAACCCACTCAGGCTTTAGAGTACAACACGTTTTTTTTCAGGGAAAGAACCTTGGTTGGCAAGAAATTAACATTTGTGCAGTGTTGCAGATGCATTACCATATTACAAACAGACAAAATGAGAAATTAAAAAGTGAGTTTCCTCCTCCTTTCATCCTCCTCTTTCTCTCTCTCTCTGTCTCTCTCCCTCTCTCTCTCTCCCTCTCTCTCTCTCTCTCTCTACTTTGAGTTTGAATTAGTCACAGTAAAGACCAACTCTATTACATTCTCAACTTTCAGCATTTAAGTCACGTTACAGTCAAAAATATATCAAATTCCAATCATTCAAACCTTATGGAGCAGAATGAGAGCATTTATCTTTAAAACAAAAAAATGTTTGTTTTATTTTCTTGAATAAGCGTTTTACGGAATTTGCAACACAATAAGGTCATATAAGTGCGAAAGATTAGAGGTGTTACAAGAGAGTAACAAACACAAAAAAGGAGGGTGATAAAGACTATACATGTTTGATAGGAAAGAAGAAGCAAACCACACCAGAGCACCCACCAACCACCTACAAAAATGTTTGTTTCTGGAAAACACTTTACTAAAAGTTAAAAGTTTAAATAATTCAGTATTCCCAGTTTTTTTCTTTTTTTTTTAAATTGTGTCAACTCTGGGCTGCAGACAGGAGAATTTTTCTGTAGTCAAAACTCTAGGGGTAATAAAACTCTCAGATTTTTCTGTAGTCAAAAGTCCAGGGGTAACTAAAATTATCAGATTTTTCTAAAAAGGTGCACAAATTATTCAGATGCAGTGGAGGCCTATCCTTCATAAGCTTTAAGCGTTTTTTAAAAATAGTCCGTGTGTGTGTGTGTGTGTGTGTGTGTGTGTGTGTGTGCATAAATATATATTGCATGAGAAGAAAGGAAGTAGAAAGAAAGGTTTTGAAAATGGGTATTCCAATGTAAAGCGCGTAGAGCTACTTTTTTTTTAAATGCGCTATATAAATGTTATATATTATATTATTATTATTATTATTATTAGTGGAGTCCCTTGACAAAAGCTGCCTGGAATCAGGCTGGTTTTATTATTAAAGTTTGTTAATACCTTATCAAAGACAAACAGAGAAACAGAAATTGGACCAATGTCAGAGATCAATTGAGATTTTTATTATTAAAGAATTTACTTCACAGTCTAGGGAATTCAAAGTTTCTCATTATTGCAACACATCTTTCAGTTTGTAATAATATACAAAACACATAAAATTGGCTCACAAGCTGAAATCATAACAAAAAAGTCTTTACACACTCTCTCTCTCTCTCTCTCTGGCGCTGTGGCGTCATAAACAGTCAGCGATGCGACAGCACGCAGGAACTCAACAGTCGCTCGGGGGTCCTTGAAAAGTGCTGAAAGAGGGTTAATGAAAAGTCCCAGCAGAAAGTATTTACACTGGAAGGGCTCAGTGACAAAATGGGTTTCCTCCAACATTCAACCCCCCCACAACTCCACCTCCCTTCAGGTTGGTGTGGGGACAACTTCAGAATATATTTCAGCGAGATAAAATAACTAATGACTCTATACTGCTTCAATTGAGCTTTTTCTTCAATACAGTCAGACAGAGAATATAATAATCAACCGCATCTATGTTTTTCACTATTTATAGACTACATGTTTGGTCAGGAGGAGTTCTGCAGAGGGCCGGCACTTACCGTGACAAGGTCAACAGAGCAAACTTCACAAGAATTGGTTAGGGTAAAGGTTTAGGGGTTAAGGTTAAGGTTAGGATTAGGGTATGTCCTGCTCAAACTCAAAACATCCCCTCTTGTGTGTTGTTGGTAGGCCGGCCCTCTGGGGAACTCCTTCCGTTTGGTCACAAAGCTCTTCACTTCACATCACATTCTCGCTGTTGGGTCATCATCATCTCTGCAGAGGTGTGGTTTCGTCATCACTGTTCCCATCATCCCCAGTTCCCGACTGTTCTGGTTCTTCTTCCCCCCAGTCAACAGGTATGTGCTCCTCTGAGGGTTCGTGTGGCACCGCACCCGGCTGACGGGACAGACTGAGAGGCAGCCGATCGCCTTGTGTCACATACCTGGCACAGCCGTATGTGTGCCTGTGTGGAAGAATTCACATAGTTTGAATTTAAAAAATGGTTTAAAAACAAAGAGATAATACATGGTCGCTTTTAAGCACAAGGGGGCTATCCCGAAAAATGCTGTTTTGAGAAAATTGAAGGTAAAGTTTTTGCCCCTTGTTCAGTTTCATTAAAAGGCAAGGAGAGTTTTCTCTATAACCAAACAAATATGCACACCAATGAAACCAAACTTCTCCTATGGGTAGGGCAATGCCCACTTTTGATGTAGGTCAAGATTTCCAGAAACCCCGAAATCTGGGTTAGCCCGCTTGTCCTTAAAAGCGACTACATGTACATAATGTCACGGTCATTTTCCAAAAACTGTAATTCACTTTTTGATGTTTAGAAACAATCTGGGAAAATGACGGCATTTACTGCCCATTCAGACTACTAAAACAGTTTCCTGGGTGAACTTCACTAACACTACACTAAAAGAAATCTATGCACCTTCATCAGCCAGAAGCAAACCAGCTACTACTGTTGCTTGTGAAAGTCAACCTATAGGACTTCTGTTAACTACTGAAGTGAAGGTATGTGGAGAGAAATGTTATCTTATGTTGGGCTGGATGTATAAAAGGATCACCTATGAAAAGCATATGTCTTTTACAGAAACAAAGGTTTCAGAATTTTAAGGGTTTGAGAAACAGAAAATAGATAACTGCCAGAAAAACGTATACCCCATACTTTCTATCTTATTCTATATTTACTTTCTGTGGTATCCACTGCATGTGCTAAATAAATATGTGGTCAAAATTCAAATTTTTAAAATTGAAAAAAGCAAGAAAAGATGCATAATGTACTCAAGGGTGCAATAGTTAAAAGAATGAAATAGGTTATTTTTCTCTCCTGAAAAACTTTACTTTCTGGGCTTAGTTTTAGTTCTTTAGTAAGAGTTTTACGGCACTTGCAACACAATACGGTCATATAAGTGCCAAAGATTACATGTATTACAAGGAAGTAACAAACACAATAAAGAAGGAAAGATCAGGACGATAGATGTTTGATAGGAAAGAAGGAGCAAACCACACCAGAGCACCCACCAACCACCCACAGAAAAGATGCATAACGTAGGTGCAATAGTTTAAAAAATGAAAGTTTTTTCTCTCCTGGAAAACTGCACTTTCTGGGCTTAAAACATTTGAACAGCTTGCCTCACAAATAAGCCAAGCTGTGACTAGGATAGAACTTACTTGTCAAACTTGCCCTTAGTGATGACCACATGCTGCAGCTGACCACAGGGCAGGCACAGATGGCAGTGGGTGTGGCGCTTGGCCTTGATCTGACGTAGAACCCGCGGCCAGCCAAACTCTGTTCACAGAAAGGTCAAGGACAAGGTCAAATGAGACAACTAGAAAACCACACTAGCAGATTGAAATGAGAAGGCAAAAGAGGCAGAGGTAGACCCCCAAGAATGAATCACTTAGAGAACCTGAACAAACAGATGACAGGAAAAAAACAGGATAATATAATAATTCTTTTTCAGAGCCCCTGAGGGAAGAAATGAGTTGCAGACCATAATTGTTGATGTCTGTGTCAGATCAAGGACTTGAACAAAAAGTGAAGGGGGGGGGGGTATGCCATTAGGAATGTGGGTGGTGCATAGTTTCAATCAGCTGACACAAAAGGTAAACTTATGCAATGAACAGTTTTTAATTCTAATTTACAGATATATCAAACGTCAACATTGCTAACTATATGAAGTGAAAGGTCATTTGTATAAAGAAATAATTATCAAGCCGTACACAGAGGATGTTTTATTGAAGGTACATCTTAAATAGCAAAACTATACAGAAAATAATGATTTGGGACCCGTTGCAACTTTTTAAATGCTCCCCCCCCCCCCCCCCCCCAACCACTACCCCAAATCACTACTTCTCTCTCTCAACAAAGGGCAAACCTGACAAGCAAGATACCACACAAGACTACAAACTTATACTTTTCATTTAAACCTTTTGTTTCCTTTTTTTGCCTCATTTGTTTCAATAAAAAGAAGAACAAAGATACAATAATCTCAACAGAGTGCTAGTAAAAAGTAAGACAGACATTGCGAAAGAACCGAGGCAAAGACAGGACATTTCACCAAGTTTCATAGATTTTGTTCACCACCACACAAACTCACCCTCTTCTTCTCTTACTCCTTTTTTCAGAATAACATATGAATATCTTGCATTTTTCTTGGGCTTTTCACTCTGAAAAAAAAAAAAAGCGATCAATGTTTAATTTTATCGGAAATAACAGCCTTTAAAGGTAATCAAGAAAGTTATGCTGTAAATAATTTTGTTAAATCATGTTCTTGGGTCCCGTGATCTTGAGTTACACATGACTGAGTAAAGTGTGCTCTACAGTCAGTTGCAAATGCAATTTTCAGATTCACCTTCCTATATATTGATCAGTCAGTACCTTTGTGATTTTTCTTCAACACCTTTCCTTTCCTCTTCTGCCTATCCAAGCCTTTAGTTTTTTGGTTTTTGGTGTTTTTTTTATGATGGTGGTGGTGGGGGGGGGGTTGTCTTAGTAAGAGTTTTACAGCAGTTGCAACAATACAATAAGATCAAATAAGTGCCGAGCCATAAGTATTTATTACGCCTGGTAGAGCAACAAGATCTGAATTGCAACTGGCGCAAATATTCATGACGTCATCTCAGGAAGGTATACATAAAAATGTGAGGAGACAGGATTTCTAGGGATAGATTGACTCACTAATTTACTTGACTGGGTAGACTGACTCACTAATTTACTTGACTGGGTAGATTGACTCACTAATTTACTTGACTGGGTAGACTGACTCACTAATTTACCTGACTGGGTAGATTGACTTACTAATTTACTTGACTGGGTCGATTGACTTACTAATTTACTTGACTGGGTCGATTGACTCACTAATTTACTTGACTGGGTAGATTGACTCACTAATTTACTTGACTGGGTAGATTGACTCACTAATTTACTTGACTGGGTACATTGACTCACTAATTTACTTGACTGGGTACATTGACTCACTAATTTACTTGACTGGGTAGATTGACTTACTAATTTACTTGACTGGGTAGATTGACTTACTAATTTACTTGACTGGGTAGATTGACTCACTCACTAATTTACTTGACTGGGTAGATTGACTCACTAATTTACTTGACTGGGTACATTGACTCACTAATTTACTTGACTGGGTAGATTGACTTACTAATTTACTGGACTTGATATCGACTTCCTTGTGGACACACTCTGTGAGACAAGGCATCTTCTGTTCCCTCAGCTTGGGACATGGCTTGTCATGCGGGCACTATGATACGTCAAAATAAAAAATAAAACATCATGCATTATGTTTCAGCAATGAAACAACAATAATAATAATAATAAATAGCATTTATACAGCATATTTCCATTATCTAAAAAAATGCTCAATGCGCATTACATCGAAAAAAAGACATCACATCTTAAGAATTAATCGTTTGCCATCATGAGTCAACTACGGAGGTAATGCTGCATCCGAAGCAGAAAGGTGGCTCTAAATTGTTTAGTTTAGTTTAAGTAAGAGTATTATGGCACTTGCAACATAATAAGGTCATATAAATGCCGGAGATTAGAGGTGTTACAAGAGAGTAACAAACATAAAAAAGAAGGAGGAGAGATCAGGACGATAGATGTTCGATAGGAAAGAAGGAGCAAACCACACCAGAGCACCCGTCAACCACCCGCCACTAAATTGAGAAAAAAACAATCACAGTCAAACATAAACCGAATCAGTTCTTTAAAAAATAAGAAAAAAGCTTGGGTCTTACTGGTGCAAACACGTGACCTTGGAACCGGCTTGTGCCATCCACCTGAGAAACCTGGAAAATTCAGTAGAGGGTCACTTTAAAGCTGTACGAACTCGTTTTGGGTTATTTTTCACGGAAATGTTTTTTGTTTTAGCAGAGACGGCGCTTGCAACTGCATAAGGTAATATGAGCGCCAGAAGATCAGAGGTATTACAAGAGAGAAAAAAAAATAGAATGAAGTAGAAGAAAACTATCATATTGTACTGAAACCCCACTCATCACAGACATCAAACCTTTAGCTTCATGTCAAAAACAGTGGCCAAGTAGTTAGCTAAGTCAGATTCACAAAAATGTCAAGCATGTGTCGGTTTATGAACATAGTCTACATGGCATTGGACAGAAGGGCAAGAGCCCAGATGTTGCTGGATCGATAACAACAAAAACATGAACATAGTCATTGGGGCCCATTCATCATAAAAGTTTCTGCTTATCTTTTCATCTCCAAGGGGGGTAAACCCACTATGTCGGGGCCTTCTTTTGACATGAAATCTATAATTGACGTATACGTCACTAAATTGGTCATTAAATTTTTTAAAATGAACTTATTTTGAGAGTTCTTTATCTTATGAATTAACTCCCTGTACAAAATCCGTTTTCGGCAATTGCCAAAAAGTAATTTGACATCAAAGTTGTTGTAAAGAAATATGCCAAAGTAGCTGCCAGCGACTCATCGGCACAGCTGTTCCCACCGCGAGCCACTGGGAGCGGCTAGCTGGAGAAAAGGAGTTAATTTAGAAGGCTACTTACATTCAAAAGAAATTCCTTCGCTTCATTTATCAAATTAAATCCTGCTGTTGTCCCATTTTCAATCAGTACCTGAAGATGTAAAAAAAAAAGATATCATTGTGAGTCATTCCAGTTTGAGTATGAGTTTGGTAAAAGTTTTTACAGTGCTTGCAACCTCATAAGGTCATATTTGCTTTTTTACGGCACTTGCAAATCTTTGTTGCTTTGTCTATGTTGCTGAATGGAAGTTTCCAGGAAGTCAGCGTGATGATAACAGCCAAATTTCAGTGGCAGCAGATTATTTTAGTTTTACAGTACTCAATAATAATAATAATAATAATAATAATAGATTGCATTTATATAGCGCTCTATCCCATACAAGTATAGGCTCTGAACGCTTTACACCAATCACATAATCATTCACACAAGAAAAAACGTATCACAGAAAAACCAGCTCAACCACATAAAGAAGAGCTTTCACAACCATACATTAACTATACATAAAAGGACAGTAAAAAAAATAAATAAATAACAAATTTATATAAGTTTTAGTTTTAGTAGGGGTTTTACGGCGCTCGCAACTGCATAAGGTCATATGAGCGCCAGAAGATTAGAGCTGTTACAAGAGAGTAACAAACATGAAAAAGATGAAGGGGAGATCAGGACGATAGATGTTTGATAGGAAAGGAGGAGCAAACCACACTAGAGCACCCGCCAACCACCCACAAAAAATGTATATAAGTATATTAAAAAATCAGAACTTACTAACACACTATAACTAACAATTAAACAAATGACTCTTGAGCAATCACTCACAGTAATAAAGTAGTTTAGTTTGGTAAGAGTTTTACAGCACAGGGCCATAGAATTATTGACAGCCAAACTTTCTCAGTGGGTGGTTGGCGGGTGCTCTGGTGTGGTTTGCTTCTTCTTTCCTATCAAACATCTATCGTCCTTATCTCCCCTCCTTCTTTTTTGTGTTTGTTACTCTCTTGTAACACCTCTAATCTTCGGCACTTATATGACCTTATGCAGTTGCGAGCGCCGACCTCTACAAAAAAAAAAATCTTTCTCACCAGGTAGGATTCGGTCATTTCCCACAAGCTGAGGACCAGGTTCATCCTCTCCTCGGCCGAGGGTTGTTCTATCAACATGAACGGGCTGACCACCAGGGAAAACTTGTTCTGGACAAAGAAAGAATCATCATTTTGTTTTGTAATAAAACTTAATAATAGACAGGCAGAGAAATGAAGAAGTAAGAGCAGCTATCGGCACTGAGTCCTGCCTGCTTTACATAGAAAGACAGAGGATAAAATGGTTTGGTCACCTGTTACGCATGTCACCTGACCAGCCAGCCTCGAGAACTTACCACACCAAGCACTCAGGCTATAAAGGAAGAGGAAGGCCACGCAAAAGGTTGATCGAGGGTGTCAAGGAAACCCTAAGAAAACATAACATCACAACTGAAAGAGCTGCAGAGCTGGCCTACCATAGAAAACTGCATCTCCCCTCGACGCTTAACGGCAACAGAGGATGAAAATGTAAAGCAAGTAAGTAATAATACACTGGCAGCATTAGAAAAGTTTATACTACTTGTTTGTTTTAGTAGAGGTTTTACGGCACTCGCAACTGCATAAGGCATAAGGTCATATGAGCGCCAGAAGATTTGAGGTGTTACAAGAGAGTAACAAATATAAAAAAGAAGAAGGGGAGATAAGGACGGTAGATGTTTGATAGGAAAGAAGGAGCAAACCACACCAGAATTTCCTTCTCTAATGCTAACATGTAACGATGTACAACTACACTATTTCAGTATCGCATGTTGAAATACAACTTTTATTAGCCACATATTGATAGAAATTCCGCTTTCCACGAGTTCCTGAAAAATATGCTCGCGAAAAACAATGTGTTTGTAACAGAGTCAACAGTCAATCATTAGTTTCACTCACAGTAAATAAAACATATTTTTTTCAAAACAAAAAATTACCTCTTTTGGGCTAGGCTCAAACTGTCTGAAGTGGACACCCTTTATAGACATCACTGTCTCCTGCTCGTTACCATCTGAAACAGAAAAAAAGCCATTGATGAAGTGAAAAGGTTTCTTCAAAAGATACATTCCCAGATATAATTTTGTTTGAAGATATATCTACTTTGATAGTACTTGCCAACACTAAAGTAATCAAAACGTAGTTTTTGAAAATTGACTGAAAGCATCCAGCTATGTAATAATGTAATGTGTCAGAGAAACAAAACAAAAGAAAGTCTGTGACTGACATGGCTGACAAGGGAAACAGAAAATGATTGTGAATATATACCCCCCCCCCCCCCCTCCCATTGACACATTTTAGGTTGTTTAGAAAACAGGCTGCTTTGATCTTGACTGTCAGCACTGACCTCAAGTGGGGGGATTAATAATAATAATAATAATAATAATAATAATAATAATAATAATATAACAATTCATACAGCGCATTTCCAAAAAAAGTAGCTCAATGCGCTTTACATTGGAATTCCCATTTTCAAAACCTTTCAAATATATACAACATCCCAGCAGAAAGACTCTAAAAAGTACTCCCCAAAGTGATTTGAACTAAAGTTTTTTGCATGCAATTGTGAAGTGGTTAGGCTCTCGGACTCGCAACCGTAAGGTCGTGGGTTCGAATCCCGTCAGGGGCCCGACGTTGTGTCCTTGGGAAAGGCACTTTACATGAATTTTCCTCACTTCACCCAGGTGGGAATGGGTACCCGGCTATAGACAGCGAAAGATCTTGTCAGTTTGTTAGTGTTTGAGTGCTAATCAGCTGCTTGCGCTGTATGTTTCCCGGGAAGCTGAGAATGTTTCGGAGTGTCCTATGGTCTGCTGGGGTAATAATATGGTGTAAAGCGCATAGAGCCTGCTGTTGAGCGGGGATATGCGCTATACAAATGCTTTTTATTTATTATTATTATCACAGACATCTGGAAAAACTGGTTCTTTTAATGAACAATGCGGCAACAAATCCAGCTGTGATCATTTTTATAAAAGCATCAGGTAAAAGAGGTTGGGTTTTTTTAGTATGTCTTTTACGGCACTTGCAACACAAGAAGGTCATATATAAGTGCTGAAGATTAGAGATGTTACAAGTGAGTAACAAACATAAAAAAAGAAGGAGGAGAGATAAGGACGATAGATGTTTGATAGGAAAGAAGAAGCAAACCACACCAGAGCACCTGCCAACCACCCACAAAAAGGGTTTGTTCAAGACAATCAAGATCAAGGACGAGTGGAAGGACAGATGGCTCACCTTGCAGCAACAGCCTTGCTATGGTGCTCATGTGGGACGAACTATCCACACAGTAGTGCTCTCCAATGCTCCGCCATGTTTTGTCAGCCGCCCTGCACGACAAAAGGCGTAATGATTGAAAGTGAAGGCATGACAAAAGGCGTAATGATTGAAAGTGAAGGCATTGCAAAAGGCATAATGATTGAAAATGAAGGCATGACAAAAGGCGTAATGATTGAAAATGAAGGCAGGACAAAAGGCGGGATGATTGAAAATGAAGGCAGGACAAAAGGCGTGATGATTGAAAGTGATAGATAGATGTTTTCTGCCCTCATCAACACAATTTAAATCATTTAGGTGAGTTGCTTCAGCCATGTTTTTAGTTTTAGAAAAGGTTTTACGGTACTCGCAACTGCATTAGGTCATATGAGCGCCAAGGGGTGGGTGTCAACAGAGAAGTCCTAACAGGGAATCAGACTTACTCTGGTCACCTCTCTAGCTTCAACAGCACAAAGTCTGCTTCAACTATCAAGGCACCTCGGAAATAGCGGGTCATAGGAGTGTGACAAACATACAAAAGAAGTAGAGGAAAATGACGATAGTAAGGATTAGGAAAAAAAAAAAAGCAGCAGTTCCCTGTTGCAGTTCAGGCAGTTACGAGCATGAAATTGATGAATCAGGCCATTTACAATTCTACTGTGCATAAGAACTCGAGATGAGAATGTCCCCCCTTTGGGAATGGCCTAAAGACACTTCAGTTAGTAGCACCACCCCGGGGGGTACAGTCATGTTTGTTAGCGAGGAGACACATCATTCAGGCAGAATAACGGAGGTACTAGGTACAAAAGACTTTTCCCAGTAGGAAATCAAACTCATATCTTTTTTTACATATAAACAGAAAGGTTAAACTTTCAACAACATAAGCCACTAGGTGCATTGAATAAGTTTCTACATGTGCTCATTTTGATTTTTCATCAACAGAGAACTTTATATCAGGAAGTAAGCAAATGGATAGACAGTTCTGTTAATTAATTAAACTCACATATATAATATTTTCATAAGAAAATCCCTATCCATACTTAACCTCAACAGACAAAAAAGTTGGGCATACCTACAAACCCAAAGAAACATGTAGTGATGAGGCATTTGACACAAAAGATACTGAACACAATATTAACTTGAACATTTCTGTTTGCAAACTACAGTCGAACCTGCCCAAGAGGGAGCCAAAGAAAAATTCTGTCTTTGACATTTTTGGCAATGAATAGCTAATTTCGGGGAGGGGTCAAGAGGGCCAGAAGTACAAAGTGGGATCAAGGGTGGCCTGTCCAGTCGGCAAACTATGGTCAAAACTTTGTACTTCCCAAGAACTTGTTCTGATAATGGCATGCATCAGTCTAAATTAAATCCATTGTGACCGGTGTTTGCATCTCATTAAGACCACTTTCTGACCAGTTAAAAACAGAAATGACAAAAACATCTCCTCTGTTTCCACCCACAGACTTTCCCATCAATGTTTCACACTGAGAGTTTGATAAGTCTCATCATTCATATGTCGAGTCTGACTGAAGAATAGTCAGATGATTCTGAATGGACGGTTCTCTTTTCCAAGACCCATAGCCTAAAGCTTGACAAAGATACAGTGTCCACACTTGAACTTCCAGGAAGGATGAGAAAAATTCCTACCCCACAAAAGACAAAGATTCTCAACTTCTGTGTGTTGACAAGGCATTTAAAACATTGCACTAATATTGCCAGCTGCTTTTTATACACAGTGAAAGTCACAAAGAATATTGGTCGCTTTTAAGGACAAGCGGGCTAACCCAGATTCCGGGGGGGTTCCAGAAAACTTGACCTGCACCAAAAGTGGGCATTGCCCTACCTATAGGAAAAGTTTGGTTTCATTGATGAATATATTTGTTTGGTTATCGAGAAAAGTCTCCATGTTTTTTAACGAAACCGAACAAGGGGCACAAACTTTACCTTCGATTTTCTCAAAACAGCATTTTTCGGGATAGCCCACTTGTCCTTAAAAGCGACCAATTGAGAGCAAAGTTTTGACTTACCAGACACAGGCCCCGACCTTTGACCCATAGTGATACACAGTGGACGGCTGGAAGTCCAGATCTCGTTTTGATATCTGAGGGCAATGATAAGAACAACGATAAGTATCTTCTCATCAATGCCTTTCACCCCTGGCAGGGTATAGGCCACATACAAGCTCCTTCCATTTATCTCTGTCCTGGGCCATCCTTCCAAGCTCGTTCCAAGTGAGCTTCATCTTTCTCATATCCCTTTCCACGCATCTCCTCCATGTTTCCTGTGGCCTACTCCTGCCTTGTGCATGATAAGTATAAAGATGTCTAATCCATTCAGATAGATTATGCCATATTTCCCTTTGTTTTTTCCTCATAAATGACACTGAGCTTGGCAAGATAAAGCAACTGAAAAGTACAAGGAACATACCTCTGTAAAACACTGCATAATGACAGAGAAGTCAAAAGACGTCCTTCCAACCATGTAGGTGTAAGAGGTGAAAGCATCAAAGCTGAAACAGAAGCAAAGTATAAAAAATAAGAAGCTTGTCAAACAAAAACATTACAGAAAACGAAACCTGACTAGATAAACTATTGAAGCTGCAACAAGTTGGATAACTACAATGTGTAGGCTATCTGGTGAAGAGGGGCAATCAAAATTGTTGTATGTCTTTTTTAACTTTCATTTCATTTAGTCTTAGTAAGAGTTTTATGGCACTGCAACACAATAAGATCATATAAGTGCCGAAGATCAGAGATGTTACAAGAGAGTAACAAACACAAAAAAGAAGGAGGGGAGATAAGGACGATAGATGTTTGATAGGAAAGAAGAAGCAAACCACACCAGAGCACACGCCAACCACCCACCATTTCATTTTGTGTCTCTTGACAAGTGACATGCTTCATAAGGTTGCAGTCAGATAAAATGCAGCCAAGAACAAGTTCTTTACACATGATACAACCTCAAGTCAACATCCCAGTAATTCTTAAATGTGCAGGTTTAATGTCACTTTCAATACTTTAAGGCTAGTTAAGGAGCAAAACTTATAAATTGAACATCCATCTTTGAAAAGCCATGGCCAAGTTCAAGAATGCCCCATTAATTGGTTGAATGTGATTTGAACAGTAGCTTGTAATGCAATAAGAGTCAAGTCACACTTTGAATTGCATGAATCAGAATCAGAGTATTCATGAAATGTATTTTGCTGGTTTCCAGATCTTGAGAGTCTTCTGTAGACCTGTCAAAAAATATGTTCTAAGTTGAGGACTGATTCACACAAACATGGACACACAATTTTACAAAACACTTTAAATTTGAAGACAAGGAGACAATTTGGCATTTATTTTCACGAAACCGATTAACAACACACCATCCAGCACAACGTGCCTACATAAAAAAATTTGATGGCAACAAGGCTAGACGACGACTGAGAAAGACCTGGATAGATGGAGTCAGGGAAACATTAACCACCCACGGCATCCCCCGACCCAAGCTCTCCAGCTGGCGACAGAGAGACGTCTCTTTCTTCCCGCGACACCCAAAAGGGTATAAGCGGCGGATAAAAGAAAAAAAAAGAATATTCATGAAACATACTTCATTGGTTTCCAGTTATAGATAGTCTTTCGTAGCCTTGACAAAACAGCTTTTCTGTGTTGATCTATTGCATCCTCTAGGTCAGCTCCACTCAAATTTTCAAACTTGTTTGGATCTGCAAAAGACACATACAAAATATTTAATTGAAATTTGTGTAAAGGAAAAATGTACGAATTATCTTCTTTTGTTTACGTTTCATATAGATGAAGAACTCCAAACATACTAAATTTGAAGAATTTCTCCAAACTTCTTTCTTCTTTTTTTGTAAGAGTTTTACAGCACTTGCAACACAATTAGGTCATATAAGTGCCGAAGATTAGAGGTGTTACAAGGGAGTAACAAACACAAAAAAGAAGGAGGGTAGATAAAAATGATAGATGTTTGATAGGAAAGAAGGAGCAAACCACAACAGAGCATCCGCCAACCACCAACTTCCAAACTTCAATGACAAGGGTCAACAGGTTGTCGGAATGACAAAAAGAACACTAACAACCACCAGCTGGCACTGACAGTTTAACACTTAGCCCCCACAAGACGCCGATCGGCAGCGGTAGGAAGCCGTCCCTTTTCACCACAAGACGCCAATCAATGACGGAAAGAAGCCATCCCTTTTTCCCACAAGACGCCGATCAATGAGGGAAAGAAGCTGTCCCTTTGGCCCCATGGGACGTCGATCAGTGACAGTAAGAAGTCGTCCCTTTGCCCCCATGGGACGTCGATCGGTGACGGTAAGAAGCCATCCCTTTGCCCCCATGGGACATCGATCGGCGACAGTAAGAAGTCGTCCCTTTGCCCCACGGGACGCCGATAGGTGACGGTAACAAGCCGTCCCTTATCCCCACGGGACGCTGATGAGCGACAGTGTGATATAGCAAAAAAAATGTAGTAGCAATGATCTCGTTTTTGACATGCGCACTTGTTAAAATTAAATTTCCTTTCTCAATGGTTTGTGTGGCCTTTGAGGTTGAAATCAGTATGTATGCAACAACTGGAATAAAATTTTTTTGAAAAATGTAGAAGACCAATGCTGCTTTACCCTTACACTTTGATGAGAATGCGGGTGAAAAATGAGCTAGATCTAATGTTTTCAGTTCAGATTCTAATTCCTCTCTTGGTGAACATGTGATCATCATTAAATAATTTCTCAGTATACAGAAAGTTTGATATTAGTTGGGGTATTTTTGCCGAGATACAGGTGTAGTACTGTGTAGTCTAAATATAAACACCCACTTCTTGTAGCAATCAACAACTGCAGGATGTCCATCAAGAAGTCACAAATTCACATTTCACGCGACCGCCTACTCTACAGTCCCTATCTAGCACCATACGCTGACCAACTTGCACTGACGAGTGACAATGCTCTTGCCCCCCGACTGCCACTCACGACTCACGAGGTCTTCCACAGTCTGTGGCTCACGCCTCGGCCTGCCCTTGTTCTTTTCTTGAATGTGAAATAGGTACTCGATCACTTTTCCTGAAATAAACCAACTAACCACATACTGATGTACCGCATCTGCACCCTGGACCGTGAAGGCAAGCGTTGTGTGCTCTGTGCAATGCATGGGTGGAAAGTGTTAACCCCCAACCTTATAATGGAGAATCATACACTTAACCTCTAAACTAGCTTGCCTCCAAGGCTATCTTTGCATTTACCTTTTTCTAGCAATTTCCTTTCAACTGCCACTGCTTTATCATTTATTTCTTGATCCGACAGGGGCGGTTGTCTTTGTGTTAGGTACTTAACAAGCTGTTCTGCCTTTGCTGTAACTGATTCCATTGGGTACTCTGTTAATAAAAAGTAAAGACAAAATCTGAAATCAGCAAGTAAGAGAGAAAAACAAACTATAGTTAAAGTAACAAGAAGCTCAATAAAAGTGCATAAATGAAAAATCAAAATCTTGAAGAATGCAGGAAGACACCAAAATAATTTTTTTTTTTTGGCAGCAGTACAAGACAAATAACTTTTATCGGTGCAAAGGCACACTCAGTGTACAAAAGATTATACAAATAACAAGCAATCAACATTTTAAAGTGTAGGCCCTGCAGTTTTCACTTAATTTTTATGAACAGAAGATTATACGAATAAAATGCAAGGAATATTTTACAACTTTGTTTCCTCTTAATTTTTGTACCATTCTACACTAGCTCCAAACTTAACATTCAAATTTGAGAACAGCAAAATTTCAAATTAAGAAACAGTTTTACAAAAGCAGCTATCTGTTTACCAAATTTTTTTTGCATGTCTTACTTTCCATCAAGATCTTCATTGCCTTGATCAAACGAGTGGGAACCTGTGTCCGAGTACGCCTCATGACCCCATCATGGCCTCTGTACTTGATGAACTCATTAGCACTACCCTGTCGTGCTTCAAGTCGCTGGGCGACTGAACTATCCACCTTGCTCTCTCTGGTAATTACGTGGCTCAACGGCAAGCCATCTGTGTCAGCCTGAGACTCCTGAAAGTCAGATGGGAAAATCACATTTATATAAAATAGTACATTATTAATTGAAATCTGATTTAACATAACTGAAACAAAAAAAAAAATATTTTTTTTAGAGAATGAAATTTTCTGTCGCTGTCAGGTATTTTTCTAACCCGGTACCTATTGAATGAGAGGCAAACTCCGTACCTCTAGACCGCGAGAGCCCCCTTAGAGAGTTTAGGTATTATGATTCAGATTAGACTATCACCAGTCTTTTATTGTAGTACTATATTCTTACTGTTATCATTTTGCACTCACGATTCCTCTGGGGGAATACCCCCCCCTCCCCCAAAAGTAGAGTCGAATCTTACCTTAATAACCAAATTCTCCAAATCTGAATAAAACATTGCCAAGTTGAATTATTATGCTGAAATCTACAGGAATCACTAAGAAAGAGGTACATAAACTATGATAAACTCCTCTCTAAGACCTAAGAAGATTAAATAGCTTGTTAACCTTCGTCTGTCCATGTTAAAAAAATTCTAGCTCATTTTGTTAATTTACCTGTGCCAATGAAACTTTGCATCGCACTTCTGCAGGACAGCGAACAACTTTTTATAAAAAATCTCGATCTAGTAATAAAAAAGTTTCTCTATTTGGACCATGCTATACTAAAAACCGCTCTTTGACTGGGTGCATGCATAGGTCGCAGGATCACGAGAACATAAATTAACTGACAGTAACCTGCCTGCAAATTGCTCATAATTTTGTTAGAGTTACACCACCCATCCCCCACATTACAGTGCAGGCTAAGTGTAAGATTGTAGATTTCATCACATGGCATGGTGTACGTCTCGACGTGAGCCTAGAAAAGTATGACTTTTTATGATTCTGTTAATCATCCAACTTTTAGACCCATGCAAAGATCTGATAAGATTAAAACTAAACCGGGGGATTTCATTTTACTTTGTTCTAACCACAGTCAGACTAAAACAAGCTCTAATAGTAAACTAAGTTAAGAGACTTACTCTGTCCCTCTTCCAGACACAACCCGCCCTTGGCCCTACTAGAGATATCTACTGGAGAGACTGAGTGAGAGTAGAGACAGAGCAAACCTGTCTCCAATTAATTGAACTAAAAATAAAAACTTTAAGTAGAGGTACACGTCATAGTCTAGATCTAGTGTAAGTAAAGAATTAAGAAAACTCAGAATAGTTTTACGATATATATATATATATACTATTAGAATTAGGCTGGATATATATTTATAATGTAATTTAATAATAAAACAGTGAGTTCAGAGTACATGCGACTAAACAGAGAACGACGCCAACTATTTTTGGGTAAGGCGGCCATCTTGAGTGACGTCAGACCAAGATACCCCATCTGATCACGTGACTACATGATCTAAACATAGCCAACCGCATGGCACCAAAAATCGTGTATACCTACCATGGCACGACATTTGGTGCGCTGTTTTACCAGGAGATGTACTGGTAATGTGACATGATGCGGTGCTCCGATGATGCTGCTGCTCATCTCTTCTGAGCATTGTTTATCGGGCCCGTGGGGTGGGGGGGTGGGGGTAATCTCTGGGCCTCTTTACAGAAATTTTCGCGTGCTTTATTGTCTTTGCATTTACCGTGTTGTTTCAGTTTCAAGCAACGGCGTTCTTACTGTTCTGAGCATCATCGATCTAAGCGATCTTCCATCACCAGAGCATGGCTGACGTGCTGTAGTTAGCCGCAAGTGTGAAGTTTTACCGTACGAAACACATCGATACGGATAATAGGTCAAGCCCCTGACCCAACATGTCATACCATGCGGTATCTCCATAGATCGTGTAGTGTGTAGTGTAGTAGAGAATCTTTTATATCTCTGCGGTCTTCTAGCTTCTAGAGACAGTCTGTGGGTATCCCAGGATGTGACGACATCACATTACTAAAATAAGCAGCCAATCAGGCAGGTACGTCGTTCTACGTTTAACCGCATGTGTTCAGAGTAGATCTTATCATCTTGTTAAATGTAGGAGCTGTAATGTATCTAGATCTAGATTCTAGAGTCTAGATCTAGATTCTAGATCTAGAAATCTAGTACATAATTTGTAGTCTGCTGCTGCTGACTGACACTGACACTCTGTACTGTACTGTGTACTACTGATGTCCACTGATGATAATGACAGAACACAACAGATCCATGACAAAACTCACCGAAATACTTCTACAAATGAAAACACCCTGACAATAAGACAAAGGTCCTCGTATTGTAACAAGTGAAGCGCCAGACTGACCAAGAATTCGCAGGAAAATAGAAGGCTTTGACAAGACTCCAACCTTGTTCATGGAGGCAGCCATTTTCTGATAGTGACCTATGACCTTTCCCCTCTGGCTTACACCGTCGTTTTCTTTGGTATTCGTGATTTTTCTGACTACAAAAATTAATTGCATGTACTGTCCAAAGAAACAGTCTCTCTCTCTTCAATGAACGACGCACATGAAAATCAATGTTGCACATCGAAATCAATGTTCGAGCCAGTTCGAGATTGAAGAGAGAGAGAGAGAGAGAGAGAGAGAGAGAGAGAGAGAGAGATA